CCCCTCCCTCTCTCTCTCTCTCTCTCTCTCTCTCTCTCTCTCTCTCTCTCTCTCTCTCTCTCTCTCTCTCTCTCTCTCAATGTGTGTGCGTGGGGAGAGGGATAATGAGAGAAAAAAAAAGACAGGTGTCTGCATCTGGATGTGTTTCATGGAGAGATGCAGAATCGCAATTTTCTGCACCTCTCCACAAGCACGTGCAGATTAAAGCACTAAATCTAAACCTTTTCACTCTATTCGTTACTATCGGACCTAAGGATATTCCTCTGTTCTGAATGTAGCAATTTATACTATCACCATCAGATGTCGGCTGGCCGATTATGTTTCTGCTGATTCTATTCCCAATGAATCTGTGTGCCTAACCCTAAGCAAACTATTTTTGGGCTAATGGTAGCTTTGTTCTTTCTGCTGCCTATCTTCGTTGTCTATTTTCAAGCTTTTTGTCTCTTTTTTCCTTTCAATTCTGTTGCTTATGTGCAACTGCAGGTTCGAAAATACCTCCATGTGGTGTTATCCTTCTCTCCTGTGGGGGATAAGTTCCGGATACGCGCACGACAATTTCCGGCCTTGGTAAATAACACAGTGATGGACTGTTTCCAGGTAGGCATAATCTCTCTTTCCCCTTTCTGTTATTGTTTTCTATAAGTTTTCTGGATGCAGACATAAAACCATGTTGGGAGCATTGTGGGCATCCTCTTGCCTCTGCTATGATCCTTCCCGATTCACAATGCAAGGCTCAACGTTGAGACAATACAGTATCTTGCAACTGTAATGAACAGCAAAATCACAGACTGAGAACTCTGCTGATTTCTGAGTTTTGCTGCTGGAATGTGTGCCTTGCTGAGATTCCCGCTGTTTGCTGAGACTTCTAACTCTGCGTATGTGCGTGCTTGCTGGTTCCCGTCTGCGTGTCTGAGTGCATGACTGCTTGAGTGTGTGTATGACGGGAACTGCAACGTGAAAATCCTTTCAGGTACTAACTTTTTGTCTTCTTCTGCCGGCCCAAGGCTACTCAAGTGCTTCCCTGAGCTACGCGGGCCTACATTACTGCTACTTGAGTGCTAGCCTATGCTACTTGAGTGTTTTCCCCATTGCAAGCCTCAAAGTCATGGCCACAGGTGAGTACCGGCCCTGAGGGCCTGACTGCTTGAGTGTGTGTATGACCCGCCAGGGTACTTGTATGTTTGGGAGGCCCGCAGGGCCGGTACTCACTTGTGGCCATGACTTCGAGGCTTGCAATGGGGAAAACACTCAAGTAGCATAGGCTAGCACTCAAGTAGCAGTAATGTAGGCCCGCGTAGCTCAGGGTAGCACTTGAGTAGCCTTGGGCCGGCAGAAGAAGACAAAAAGTTAGTACCTGAAAGGATTTTCACTTTGCATACCCCAAGTCCGAGTTCCATGGTCGAAGCCCCCAACCGAAAAGAGGCCAAAGAGGCCGAAACAAGAAATGGTTGTGTCGGGTACCCCTCAGGCCAGAAAGATCAAAATTCAACCAAGTCACATAGTCCAAATGCAGCAGCACTCCAAAAAAAGTCTGGAAGGTACTGGTGTCGAGGGCATCGGTCCCGCATGGGGACCCTCCCGGCCGCGTCACGCACAATTTGTGCAGGACTTTTTCGCGGTGGAGCTTTCGCTGAGTGCGCCAGCCATACCTCTCGCGAACCCCTACAACAGGATAGGGTCACGTGAGGTACAACGTACCTCCGCCCTAGGGGTTGTCACCACCCTTGGACGGGCGTATCCCTGCCGAGCTACCGAACCACATGCAAAAGCTACTCAGTTGCAATCGCAGAGGTGGCCCAGCCTAGGGCGTTTCTCGTGCGTTGTAGCATAGGGGGTACGCGCGGTCGAACGCCTCTATCAAACGCGTACGCGAACCGTCACTCTGAGGGCTGATGTCCCAAGCATGACTTGGTTTCGGTCGACTAGGAAGGTCCATCTAACCACACGATACACCACACCAAAAAAATCATATCATACACAAAACGCGCCTAGTCCCTTTTTGTATCCAACCCATAACCTTTCTAACACAGAAAACAGTTGGGCGTCACACGCGAGAATCAAATAAATAGTCGCGAGGACGCAGGCTTCGTCATATAAACTAGTCATGCATGGATGAGCAAGTTGTCGCAGTGGTGGCGTACTATGTCGTACCCATAATCATGCGGCCCTCAATGGTCTCGAGGGTTGCTTTTGACACTCAAGTGTCGGCTGACACGCGTCTTGAGGGATTAATCTCTTGATGGTAGACAACCGCCAAGACGGTTGCAAGTCCTACCCTCTTCTGCACCCTGCGTAGATAAGCGGTAGGTGGGTCTCAACCCTTTGTAGCGGTTGAACACCCCTAACACTCAAAGTGAGGTTCGACCTTTGGAGGTCTGGAAACATGTCAATGGGTTTGACTCTGACAGCTGCTACGGACCTTAACGTCCAACAAAAAAAATATTAAAAATTAATTCTTCTTTTTCTCTCGAGACAACCCGTTTGACGAACACGCGGGGTCATTATGGATCGCGCGAACATACCACACACAACCAAGGGGTTTATGAAACACGAGGCGATCATTATCACAATCACAGTGTGACTCCTTTCAAAATATACTTGTGATCGCAGGCAAAGTCAAATCTGGACTTCCATTCACAAAACATACATGGAATCACATCAGAGATTCAACATCGGCAAACCACACACTACACGGGGTCAACTTCAACCACTCTCTGCACTCATATCCCTTGCCTTATCCACACAAGCCCCAACCCTTGTCCAACCTTCCAAAATAAAACAGTCAATACCTTTTTAAATGACCATTTAATAAAAATCAGGGTAAAAACTCAAAGAAACAATTTAACCCACAAGGGCTTAAGGCCTTTAGGTTGAGTGGCGAAAATGAGTTAGAGTTGAGTCATAAACCGACGAATCGGTAACCGACCTGTTATCAAAAGGTATCAGCAAATGATCCTCGTAGGGTCAGACTGAAACTAGTCAGATCTTGGATTGAAACTGTAACTCAACATAGGCAAATTCTCAGAGACTAAACTATAAGTGTATGGAGAATAAACCCCCATATCACATCTCACTCAAAATTCTACCAAGACTTAATCTAAATCCACCTTCAAGTGAATACTAAGAAAGTAAGGAAAAAAATCGGCAGCATCTTCCCTATATAGGGTGGATAGCAAAGACTTTTCTTATCAAAATATATTATGACTCCTCAAAACTAAGAAAATTTTGGCAGCATTCTCTCTAGAGAAAGTATTTTCTAGAATTTATACTCGTCTGAATATGAAATCTGAAATGATCCTTAACTTTATGAGTCAAATTTTGTCTAACTCTCTGAATTAGTAAAACTTCGGGCGACATCTCTTTTAGAAAGACCGACTTCGCAAATTTATACTAATCAGATATGAACTCGAAATAAAACCAAAGTTCTTGCCAAGACAAAATTCAACTAACTCTTTAGATTTGCAGAAATTTCGGCAGCACTCCCTCTAGAGAAGTGTCATCCCGAAATTTGTACAAAGCTAAATACAAAAATCTGAAAAATAATTCTGATTTCACGAAATCAATTTTTGTCTAACTCCCTAAATTAGTAAAAATTTGGGCATCACCTCCCCTAGAAAAAACGGTTTTCCATATGTATACCAAGCCAGATATGAAACTCAGACAAAACCAAAATTTGACTAACTCCTTCGTTTTGCAAAATTTTGGGCAGCACTTTCCTTAGCGAAAATAACTTCCTAAAATTCATGCAAACCCAAGTATGAAAAATAAACTTAACCTATAAAATACAGAAATTGAACTAACTCCTTTGGCTTCACCTCACACTCAATGACAAACAAGTCCATACCACAATGGGTAAGTACTCTCACCAAAATCCCAAGTTGTTTTCATATAAGATAGTTCATTGATCCTCCAGATGATTATCCCTTGTACCCATTTTACATATGGTATGATGCTATACCATTCAACTTAGAAACAATGTCTAACATGCAACTACTTTTCTCTTCTTCAAGCGTGTGAGTAGACCATTCAGCTTAGAAACAATGCCTAGTCGCCCTGAACTGTTTAAATATTCAAAATTTAGTAACTCTCTGACTTGTCTTCAAAGTATGGGCAGGGGACTGAGCCATTCAGCTTAGAAACAATGCTAAACTTTTCCATATTACTTTCAATTATAGTCTTGACTTTATCTCTCTTCTTAGTGATATGCAGGGTTGTCGAGCCCCGGCCCCGGGGCCCCGGCGGGGTTCCGGGGTTCCGGGGGTGGGCACCCCCAACCCCGGCTCCAGACCCCCTCTCTTATACACA